GTAGAGACTAGCGATGGACAGGAGAGACGGAAAGCTTCCCCTGATTTAATTGACATGAGATTTATCAATCCGTACGACAGGCAAAAAGTATCTCTTGAAGCTAATAAGATAAAAATCACCTTTACCTCAAAAGGAAAACAAGATAGGAGGTGGACAAGTGGGCTGACATGGGGCCTGAGACCTAACTCATGGCCACCGACTATAGGGGTTATGTTTCAGATCTTCCTCAAGGTCGAGGCAGTAGTCAAATTGGCAATAGGGCCCAACCCAGTGCTGAAACCTCCCCGCCCAGAGCCCCGACGTCCTACACCGAGGCTCATTCCCCAGTCTACTACATCTGCTACCCCAACTATGGGAAACCCACCTCCTTTCAAGAATCCCATGCTGGGAAATGATACAAGCAGTGGTAGAGACCCTAAATCATACCAGTCCCTCCCTTGAGGACCCATGATGGTTATGCTACCCTGGATCCCCACCTTTCTATGAAGCAATCGGGATGAATGGCTCTTACACTCTCAACAGCTCTCATCCTGCTTACTGGGATGGGAGACCCTGGGGATTCATTATTTCCCAGGTTTCTAGCACTGGTACCTGTGTAGGCACAGTTCCAGCATCCCAAAGCCAGGTATGCTCCTCAAGCGTTACCGGCCCATGGGAGCAGGAAAAGTGGGTTATACTCTCTTCAGGATGGTGGCTTTGCTCAAAAATAGGCCTCACCCCAGCATTATCCACCTCTGACTCCACTGCTGAGTTCTGTGTACTAGTGGCCATTCTGCCCCGGCTTTCATACCACACCCATGAATCTTTTCTCTCTTACTGGGAAGAAAGACTAGGTCCCCTTAGGAGTAAAAGGGAGCCCATCACGGCCCTAACCATTGGGACCCTCTTTTCTTTGGGGCTGGCCGGAGCAGGAACGGGAATTGCATCCCTAGTGATGTGGGAACAAGGACTTATAGCCCTAAGACTGGCCGTTGACAAGGACTTAGAGCAGCTCCGGCAGTCAGTGTCAGACCTGGAGCAATCCCTCACCTCCTTGTCAGAAATAGTATTGCAGAATAGGAGTGGCCTAGATCTATTGTTCCTAAAGGAAGGGGGACTATGCGCTGCCTTAGAGGAAGAATGCTGTTTCTATGTGGATAAGACAGGAGCAGTTAGGGAATCTCTGGCCAAGTTAAAGCTGGACCTAGAAAAAAGACGTAGAGAATATGAGGACCATAAAGGCTGGTTCGAGTCCTGGTTCACACATAAACCATGGTTTACAACTCTCCTCTCAGGTATCGCAGGACCTATAATTATTT